TCTGATACAAGAAATTGTATTGTGGTTTGTCTCTGCTACAAAGGTAATGTTTTAAATAGAATTAAAGAATCTAGGTATTTGAAGTTTTACTATATACAGTATTTTTAAATTAATGAAATAGTAACATTCATTTTTCCAATTTCCTGCTTTGACCAACTGATTTTGCACAATATGAGCCCTGATTTCTTTTAAAAATGAATAAATATTGCACTAATATTCATAGCTTCATGAAATAAGCACCAGCCAAAGGCTGATGGTGGAAAAGATAATCTTTCAGTTAGGCTGATGACATGATGTTTAATGTTAAAAATAAAATAACATTGCCTTCCCAGATTAGATCTCTCATATTTTCATGTTAAACTCCATCTTTAGGTTCCTTGAATCACAGGGGCCTTTATTTGGAGGGCACCAGTGACCATTGGTTCTCCGAAGCTAATCAGCAGCATGAGATTGAGGCCAGCTCCCTGCACTTAGAAATTACACTTGGCAGTGACGACTATAATTTTGTCATTTGTCTGAGGCTGGAGCTGCCTCCTAAAACTGAGTGTTGATAGTGACATCTAGTGGATCTTGGGTACCTAAAGTTCTGTGACCTTACAGAGTTGTGTGTCAAGTACAAGTGGAGGAACCAGCTCATTTTCACCATTCCTGTGTTCTAGACCACGAACATGTATTCTCTGTAATTCATTTTGGTGTATCTAAAATACAAAACTATCAGGAGTTATTGAAACTTAATTTTTTTTCCTGTAGACAGAAGATCCAACCATGGAGCGACCCTATACCTTTAAGGATTTTCTCCTCAGACCTAGAAGGTGAGGCTTAGGGTGCAGGTGTCTTTTATGCTTTGGCTGTTGGTTTTCTCTGAAGAAGATTTTAGCTCCTTTACCGGTTTCATCTTTTTAAAAAGTCAACATAAATATGAAAGATGCAACCAAGTCGTATCCTTTATAACCGGTTTTCTTCCATTATGCAGTCATAAATCTCGAGTCAAGGGATTTTTGCGATTGAAAATGGCCTATATGCCCAAAAATGGAGGTCAAGATGAAGAAAACAGTGAGCAGAGGGATGACCTGGAGGTAAGCAGCAGAGCTTCAGTCTGTATTCCTTGGCTAAGATCCTATTAATATTTTACTTTAAGGCTTTATAACTTAGGGACATAAAGGTTTATAAAGCTTATGTGTGGAAAAAAGTGTGTCCGTGAATCTGTCTTTAATCATCTACCAATGTGCTTGGTTTTAGTAAAAAAGATGAACTTTTCATTTTCTGTTCCAACACTAATAATTGAAGAGGTTTCTCTTTATAAAATGTTATACCCATATTCTATTAATAACCCCACCATTATATGACATTTTTCTCACATATTTAGTTGATTTTTTGGACCTTCAGCTCTTTGTAAATTCCTTTTAGCCCTTGGAATCGCTTCAGAGTGGTAAGTGGCTGAGGAAGTCTTTTCCCAGTTTATTACCACACTTGCCCCCGTGATGACATGCGTTAGGAAGGCGCTCCTCTGCAAACGCCTGTTTGGAATCAGCTGTCCGGGGAACTTTTCATTTTTTTCCCTCCTGACATGGCTGCCTTGTAACTTCTAGGCACATACCTCTACTGTGGGTCCTGTTGTACCTTCTCAACACTCTGCAGACGGGACTCTTCTGTTAGATTCTCATGTTGTTCTGAAAATGGCCGTGAAGCAAAGCCTCTCTGTGGCCTGTTAGCACATCTGTTTGCAGCTGTTGCGTATACGTGATACATGAATAGTGTGTTACAGGCAAATTAACAGAACCCCCTGAGACCAAGAGGCCATATTTCCAGGCAGGATTTCACTTGGGAGCTTTCATCTGTGTGTATATGTGAGGAGGAGTGAGGTGGGTGGCAGACGGTTATGAATGTTAAGATTTCATGAGCGTATCAACAGATTTTTATCTCAAATCCAAGGAATTTTTTACACTCCTCTAGCCTTCCATCTGCAGTAACCAGTGAATTACTTAATTTTCCAGTGATTTTGCTAGGGGATGTTAGGAAGGAATACTTAATGCCTAAAATATGTGTTGCAAAAATGTGACTTTAGCTCTGGTACCATGGAGCCCGTGTCTGTGGCAGCAACAATGGGGAGCACCTCCCTGGAAGTGGTGGTTCCCAGGCTGCTACTGGCACCCATGATTGTGCTCCGTGTGGAGCGGGAGCTTCACTTCCTCCCAAAGCTGGCATTGGTGCCATCCTCCTGGGGGAGGTAGAGCCCCGGGCCTCGAGGTCACTCGTGCCATGGTCTCTGCCAGCGCACCCATGCAGTGCAGCTCACCTCAGCAGCTCCCTTTCCCCTTGTGAAGGTGATGAGAAGATGCCAGCGTAGCATGACCCACGTCATTGGCCTGGCTCTCTACAGCCCTGGGGTCCTTCCAGTCAAAACAACAAACATGAAATAAGAAAAGAGTATAATGTGACTTAAGCAGTATAAGAGACTGTCCACGTCTAAATCTGTGCTGCTCTGTAATCCAGTCACCTTAGAAGGCAGCACAATTAACTGGCCATTGTTCAGAATTTTGTTGAGGCTCTTCTAGAATTGATTTTCTGCCCTTTTTGGGAATTTCTCCAAATGTGGCACATGGAGAGTGCCCAGGAGCGAGGAGGAAGGACACAGAGCTCACTGGTTGTCCTTCCCTCACAGCTGGAGAACCCTCCTCACCGTCTCCCGTTTGATCTTACCCCACAGCACGGGTGGGAGGTTGTCGACTCGAATGACTCGGCTTCTCAGCACCAGGAGGAGCTTCCTCCCCCTCCTCTGCCTCCCGGCTGGGAAGAAAAAGTGGACAATTTAGGTCGGACTTACTACGTCAACCACAACAACCGCACCACTCAGTGGCACCGTCCGAGCTTAATGTGAGTACCGTGCAATGGTCAGGAGAACCACCTCATGCCCTGTGGTGGGTCTGAATGGAGCAGCTTGGCAGCCGGGACAAGGTTGGGAAGTAAATCTCATGTCAGTGTCAGCATATGGTTGTGTAGGATTCCTCTTCATTCAGTCGGAGCCTGGGAACCCGTCAGGATCTATGCATCATAACTAAGAAGCTCTTCCCTTTGTATCATGTTCTCCTGTTTTAAATATGAACTAATTTATTTTGGATGTCCTTAGGTAGATCATGAAATATAAAGCAGAGGCGATGTTTCCTAGATCTGTCGCATGTTCGGTGATGATATCATTTCCCTCTTCTTCAGCTGCGTCTCCTCACTAACCCAGAGTGGAAAACAGCAGACAAATCGGCTATTCTATCTTCTCTTGAAGCTTTTGGATTTTTATTCCTTTTAGTTATTTGATTTGGAAACTCTCTCAAAGCCATTTTTTTCCTTTTTGGGAATTTATATTTCACCCCCTTGATAGAATTAGAAACACACGGGAGGGTGGCACACTCAGAATTACTAATTAATGTTTATTCTAATCCCTCACCAGCCTCAGGGATGCAGTGAATTGATTACTGTTTTGTTCACATGGCAATTTTTGGTTTGATGATAGAAAATAAACACTGGTAAAACCTCAGCTAGTATAAAAAAAGGATTTGAAGCAGCTTGTTTTTAAATCATAGTATACAGTAAGATCTAAGCCTATTAATATACACTAAAAGGCAAAAACAAAGTATTAAAAGAAAAAGGAGAAATTATCCTAGGAACATGAGCTTCCTAGCAGCCAAGACAAGGTGTAATTATCAGTAAATTATATAATTACATAATTGTATAATAAAAGCACAAATATTAGGTGAGATAAATCTCTTTAACCCAGACTCAGAAATTCCCTCATGATGGTTTTTATGCAGGTTACTAGCAGTGTGATGAATGGTGGTGTCTGTAACCTGTTTGTCCTCAGAAATTGCAAAGATGTGGACTGTGGTGAGGAAGGTGGCCAAGAAGGTGGTTTAGGTTGTGTTTGAAAGTGTGCAGAATCTGTAGCAATGAATCCTTCCTAAGCCTCCCAGTGGGTTCTCCCCTGTCAGCTGTCCTCAGTCAGCTTTGGACTGCCCAGCATGGACATCCATTGTTCCCAGGACAGTGTAACTATCCAAATGTCCAAATGAGAAACGCTTCTTTGTTGCAATTTTTTCCCGTGTAGAACTATAAATGGAAACGGTTTAGTTGATTCTTTTAATATTTATTTGTTTTCCTTTTCCTTTTGATTAACGATCATAACTGTTAACACTATTATAAGCCATTTGACTACTCTAGCTATTTGTAAAAAACAATTAGACCCACCTTGGGCTTGGGTACCTGGAATGATCAGAAGAATCTTGGTAGCAACATCTTACGCAAAGCGCCATTATCTGCCTTCTGAACATTGTAGGAAACAGCTCAGTAGAGACAGAGTGTCATGTGATCTCTGTAGGAAAGTGACCAGAAAGGCAGCTCAGCAGAAGGAAGAAATACTAATAGCCGATGCATACGTGGAAGAATGTTCACCTACGCTAAAGATTATCATGCAGATTAAAGCCTATGGGGGACAAATGGGGGTAATTGCTACTTTCTCTACCTCACAAAGTTGTGAAACTGAGGGAGTTCATTAGAAAGCACTTCACTCTTTTTAAATGTACTACCCTTTGGTGGCAATGAAACCAAAACAAAAGATTCATTTGGATAAATGCAGGCTCATCAGTAGTCTAGAAGCAACATGGGAAAATACGGTTCTTAATCCAAGTTCAGGTTCACATGTATTTTCCGGAGAAGTCAGTGCCAATTGGTGAGGCGTTAGTGCCAGGAGAAGCTGGACCAGGAAGGACGTCAGCAGAGCTTGAGGAGTGCAAGGCCTCTAGAAAGCAAGAGAGAAGTTAGATAAGGAAAGAGTCCGTCCGCAATAACCTCTTCATCCTGTCTGAACTGTTTGAGGCTTTGAGGTTCTTTCTCCTTAACTTTTTGGGGCTTGGCCAGAAGCCCTCAAGCCTTCCAGAATTGTTTTTTAAAGTATTGTCTTAATTCAGAGAGAATTTTCTTCATAATTTACTTTTCATAGAATATTGCAGCACTCTTTGAGGAAAAATTGATATTACAATGTCTTTTTCAAAAGGCTGTATCTGAGGAAATCATATAGTGAAGTGATTTCCATGTGGTAGCAAAGAATTAAGACTATCCTGGGGACTCTTCATTTCTTACACTGTTTATTCCAAATTTCAATCCCTTGAAAAATCTTCTTTGACATCTCATTGACACTCAGGCTGTTCTTACAGGGTCCTTCTCCATCCTGTCTTTTGCCAGACTTACCACCCCTAGTCCTAAACGTACGGTGCACCGAGGGCCTGGATCATGCACACCTGCTTTCTGATTACTTTCTCTTCTTCCTTGGCTCCCAGGATGTTAACCCTCCCTCCTCCCCCAGGCCCCCTCCCCAAAAGAAATCCAAAACAAAACTAGAATGTGCCCTTCCCCTTCTGGGAAGACACCTGTATATGGCGCCCTGCTGTGCCTGCCTCAAGGAGAACTGGACCTGCTCTGCTCAGCTCTCCGTGAAAGCCTTTTGCTGCCCCGTAATGGCACAGAGCCCGAAACACTCCAAGTGCCTGTTTGAGCAGAGACTGTTTTTTTATCCACAAATTGACCCCTAGTTTCTGGCACAAAGTAGGAGTTCAGCAAAATACCTTTTAACTGAGTGAATGACTACAAATGAATCATTTCTGGAAGTGATTCTATGCATGTAGTTTAGTGAACTGTCAAGGCCTCGATACAGAGCTGTAGAATGGAAGGTAGTGCCGTAGAAGGCTTCCCCAGGCCTCTCAGGTGTGGGAGTGCCTTTTACAACAGTCCTGATTTCAGATTTGTCCTCACCCATTTAAATGAGAAGTGTAAATTTTTTACTATAAAAACCACAATTTTAAAAAGATGGTGAAAGAATTGTATTAAAACAAGAAAAGAAGATGAACTTTTTAAACTCACTTATTTTAACTCTTTATTGCCTTTTTCTAACACTGCCTACCTTAGCCATAATTTTACCATACAGTTAACTCAGATCTTCACAGTCACTAGTGAGTGTCAGTGACCCGACACACTCATCGTAATTGGCACTGAACTTGATAAATGTATGGTTTTTCTAATTTTTATACATCTATATATTTCCCATCAAGGTCAAATGAAACATATGTACATGAACTTAATAATGACTGAAGAAAACAGAAATAGCCAGCTCTGATTTTTTTCCCTGCCTCTAATAAAAGTATTTTTGTTTTGTCATCTCAGATATATTTTTTAATAGCTATTTTTTTTGGTATTATTAATCTACAGTTACATGAAGAACATTATGTCTATTAGGCTCCCCCCTTCACCAAGTCCCCCCCACATACCCCTTCACAGTCACTGTCCATCAGTGTAGTAAGATGCTGTTCATCTCAGATATTTTTAAATGTTCATCTTGCCATGAGTGTTTAAACTTCTAGTCAATTTCATTAACTCTCATTCAGTGGCAAAAGACATACCTTATGTGAACATTTTCGTTTTATCACTAAAGATCATAAAAGCCCCTGATTGGAATTTCAGAATCGGAGTATTTTGCTTCTTTAGACTATTTAGTTGTTTCTGGTTCACAGTGATTACTAATTATTTGAGCATGCTGATTAAGGAAGATTGGCATAATTAATTTTTTAAACACCCCTTTTAAAACAAAAAGTCCTTTCAGACTAGTGGATTCTTATGTATTTCTGAGAAGTAAAAATACAGATATTGCAATATTAAAACCTGTATTTCTCAACCTCTCAGAAGTGCCTGTAACAACTTAAGTATGTGTTAGGACCTGGCACATAGCATGCAAACATTAGTCACTTGGTATTGACTGAATAAATAACAACTAATATTTCAAGTGAAGATTCAAAATTTTGGTGAAACTAACATATAAAATGTAAGGCCAGTCAACATAAAGTGAAATTGCTTTCATCTCTAATAAAGTACAGGAAGATAATGTAAATTTTTCTTTGCCTCCTTAGATACTACTGAAGTATTTTATATATTTCATAAAGATATTCTGATCATTTTCCTTCTAAGATTTTTTCTGTTCTATAATAACTTACAATTTTTATCATCATTACATCTTAAGAATTGAATGTCATATAAAAGTGGCTGCAGTGACATAAAATCACAAATACAGTATTACATTTTCTACCATATCCAACAGAGTATCATTTTTCATCATCTGTTTTGGTGGTTTCAGAAATGTGATTACTATGCCTGTGTGTCCTTTTATTTTAATTATTTTCCCCTATGGGCCACTATTGTGTCCGTTTTCCTGAAGGTATCTAGATTTAATGTGATCTTTTTAGTTTTGTTATAGTTTAATAGAGCTATAAAATATGCAAGATATATATTTCTGTTAGAATTTAAGAGTTAGTGTATTGGGTAAACAGATATACAGTAAGACTTCATTAATTCAGATTTTAATAATAAGGAATTATCGTTTTAATGTGGGTTAAAAGGAAGCTAACTTTCGGACTACCCCCATTTACTAGTAAAGTTAATGATGTGAAGATGTTTGTTGAAAATAATCTGAAACTGGTGGTAGAGTCACGTATTTATTTGCATACAGTGTTGCTAATTGCAATAGTTTGCTTATTCCAAACTAGTTACGTATCAGGTGTAAAAGGTTCTTTATTGGGATATGGTATAAGTTAGTTTGAAACTATAAGAACATTTTAACACCTTTGTTTTAGGAAGCATCATAATGAGAGCCCTTGATTAATACTCTATTTCAATTAGTCCGAAATAATGTTTTCAAATATTTTGAAATGTAATAACGTGCAGCATCATTTTTATTAACTAAATTTGGCATCGTATTGAACGATTCTATAAGAGTTTTCTCTAAAAAACACTTTAACATCTAAAACTTCTACTCTAAAAAACTCAAGTAGTATTTCTCGCCAAGAATGATTCCCTGTAATTTATTGTAAAAGTTTTCAAGGTTGAATTGATGCTTTCAAATTTAAGAGAGTTACATGATGGGAAAAAAAAGTGTGTTAAGTTGCAGTATCCTTCAAATCCTAGTTTAACTGCCTCATGTTTCTGTGAACTCTTCAAAGTACTTTCATGGGCAGAATTGCAGTGTCATGATTCTGAGACAGCAGATCCACAGCAGCCGGCAAAGTTCACACTGGGTCATGAGCACTTCCCTCCGGATCCCAGCCTTGAGTTTGTGCTATTTCTGTTCTTTGGTCAATTGTTAATGACCAGATGGTGCTGCCTTATGATTGCCAGACTCCTAGATGGGTCGCCGCTCCCTGGCAGCAAGTGCGAGCTTACCTGTCACCTCTCCTCCGAGAGGCCTGATGTGGCACTGGAACAAATGAATGGAGACTTTGATTTCTCTTCTTCCTTCAATACTAAAGTACATTTTGCAGTATATGAGGGAAAGGTGCTCAAAATACTGATGCATTTCAACACTGTGCTTGATGGAAATGAACCTTGAACTGTAGGCAAAGTATAGTGAAAGAATTCCCGTATTTAATGGCCAGCTAATTGTCACTGTGTGTGTGACATCCGCGCATCACCCTCGGTGAGCTTGGTTGGGCCATTGGTGAAGGGCCAGTTACCAATATCGGTTCTCCTGTCTCATGTCCCCGCATCGGCGCTCCCAGGGATGTGTCCTCCGAATCAGACAGTAACATCAGGCAGATCAACCAGGAGGCTGCGCACCGGCGTTTCCGCTCCCGCAGGCACATCAGCGAAGACCTGGAGCCCGAGCCCAGCGAGGGCGGAGACGGCCCCGAGGTACCACACGCTCATCACCTCCACACCCTGCACCTCTTCTTTTCCATGTCCTCAGGCTGATCTATGTCCTCGTTTTCTCGATGAATGCTGTCTAAAACGTAAAGATTACGGTCTCAGAAATAGTTGATGTCCATTAGGATATTTATTGAGAAAGTCCTTATAAAAGCCATGTTTGATGAAACCATGTATCTGTGTTACTACAAAAGGGAATGACATTAATTTTAGTGTGGAAATCTTAACATATTTTCACTTTGGAATTTATTTCTCCCCACACTATCTAACCATATATCAAGTGGCAACAGGATTATCATGTTCAAGCAATTGAATGAGCCCTATTAACTTGTTTAGGTATCAAATACAATTTTTTATTGAGTACTTTTGACATCATTGAAGTGATTTATTACCAAGAAAATACAAATCTGGGTGAATTTACAAATGTTTCTAATTTTCTTCTTAACTGTTCATTATTAATTACTGGGGAAAAAGATTACTTATTGAACAACAAATTAGCAATTACCATAGCTTCATGCATTAGAAATCCATTCTCTTTAGGCCTTGTGTTATGAAGGTCATTCATAAATTGTTCCAGTGGTCACAACTGGAAAAGCAAAATTAATGATTCCATAATAAATCCAATAAAAGTTTCTTCATACCAATGTTCATTTATAACTTAAGAGCATCTCTGCTGTTTTCACTGAATCTTCAGCAGTTAGAATAGAAGAAAATTCATGAAAATCATGAATGAATTCCTGAGAATATTTTTTAACCCATGCATATTGTAAGAAGTCCTAAAAGTAAGTCAATGCTCAGAGAAATGGTATTGTAAAGTGATAAAGGGCTCAGTGCCTGGGACCAGGCTTCAGTTGAAGTCCTGGCCCTGTCCTATCCAAGGCCTTTCACCTTTGGCAGGTTACTCTCTTTGGCTCAGTTTCCTGAACTATTAATTAGGGTAGTAGCCATATCTTCCTTACATAGTTATGGAGAATACTGTGTGCCTCCAAAGTGCTCAGTAAATGCTAATTACAGTTATCATAATGGTTCCTGTCGGGAAGAGGACAAGAGCATCCCTCGGTCCTCATATTAAACCCTACGTCTTATTCCTTAATAGCCTTGGGAGACCATTTCAGAAGAATTGAGTATCACTGGGGACTCCCTCAGTCTGGCGCTGCCCCCACCACCCGCCTCCCCAGTGTCCCGGACCAGCCCCCAGGAACTCTCCGAGGAGCTCAGTAGAAGGCTTCAGATCACTCCAGACTCCAACGGGGAGCAGTTCAGTTCTTTGATTGTAAGTGACAGTTCATTTGAATGCCAAGTGGAGCAAGTATTTTATCATTTTTTGTTGCTTTAAGAGAATGTGGTATGCAAATAATGACCCAAGGGTCTTCCAGCTCCCACATAAACTGACATTTTCCAAAGTGCCTCCTTCCCTGAGAGAGGCAGGACTACACCATGATTAGCCTGAGCAGGTGAGAATTTTTGATTTATAAAGAACTCGAGAGAGTAAGAGTTCATGACTTCTATAATTATCAGCTTTAACCTTGTACAGTTTATTTTCCCAGCCAAAGGCTCATAAATAGTTCCTTCATCACAAAGGTGGTATTTCACACTGGGACCTAAGAGGCATGGGGCTCTTAAGTCATACTCTGCAGACTTTATCATTCTCATTTCACAGGTGAAGCCATGATGTGTAAGTGACCCATGCAAAACCAGGTTAGAATGGGAGATAGAAGACATCTCCTAAGTCCCAGAAAATGAATCCTTGAGAAAGGTTGTGAAATTATGACACATCAGGGTAGCATTTGAGCTTGGGTTTCAAACTATCAGGGAAACTTTCTAGAAGCTTCAGATGGGGCTAAGCCTCAATGAGAAGTAGTAGAATCAGCCATGAAGATGTCCGCATTTGACAGTACAAAACTGTGCAGAAAAAGCCCATTCAAAATTCCTGCTTGTGTATAAAATTGAGAATAAATGCAGTCTTAATGTTTCTCAAGAACTTGAACTTAAAGATGTACCATAGTAAATGATGGTAGTCACTCCACCAAAAGTGGCGTCTTGGAAAAATAGCTGTTATTACAACCCTATCAAATGTAATGGCTAGCAGGACTGCATAGAGGGTAAGAGAGAGTAAGCAGCCACAAAATCGTTTCTCCTTCAATTACAGTGTTTTCGTTTAAAAAGGCACCATTGGCCCATAGTGTATGAGTTGCTTGATTACTCAGTAAATGTGGTTTTGTATCAAAATTCTATGAGTGTGTTTCAGAAAGAGAATTGCCAGTGAGGTGAAAATTTAGTACTAAAAGGGCAGGAAAAAAAGTTTGCATATGTGGGATATTTGAATTAGTAAAACTGTTCCTATGGAAGCAACACATGTAGTAACGCCTTATATTTAAATCCTGTAAAAAGAAGTGAGTCCTGCAAGAACCATAGCAATTTTACATCTTTAGTCCATCAAGTGAAAAAATCACAATTTCCTTCAGCATCAGTGTTGAGTTAGCATCTCTAATTACTTGCATAGGGAGCTCCTGCATTAGGTTATTTAAGGTGTGTAACATATCTTTCAGATCCAAGTGCAAGTGTTGTCATTATTTAAGTTTGTATTGAGTCTGGTTCAGCCATTAAATAAGAGTGCCTAGGAAAAAGAAGAATATGGGCTTCTCCACATTTGCTTGTCAGAGTCACTCTACATTCAGCGACAGTAGCATAAACTTTAGTTACTAAAGAATGAATCCTCCATGCTAACCATTGTGGAAAGACATTAACAGCCCCCAGCACTGCCACAGTCTTTCTTTGGCTTTATCCCATTTGCAAAATATTAGACATGAGCAAATGCTAGACTCATCCAGTGGAGGAGATGCTGATTAGACCCCTGGCTTTTCTGTGTGTGACCTGCTATTCTGATTGGATCTGTTAGGTGTTTTTTTTTTTTTGTTAACCATATAGATTAATTCAGTGAGACAAACAGTATACATTACACACAAGATTTTTTTTTTATATTACCTTCACCTCAACTCCATTCAGAAGCTAAAATGATAAATACCTGCCCTTCAGAAGTAGCACAAAATTGTATTTGAGTTCTTGTGGACATAGAACCCAACTGATTCTTTGTCAAAAATTATAATATTCAATAGATGTTTACTAGCCAAGTATTACTATTTCTTCCTGTATTCACATCTCCCTAGAATTTACCCAGAGGTTGCGCCCCAAAGCAGAATATACAGGAACTGTCAGCCTCTCACTTCCATTCTTAGAGCAGCACTAGAGTCGCTGGGGCCTGTGGAGCCCCCTTTCCTGTTGTGACCACCTCCTCTGGTTTTTGCTGTTACATCTAAGGACCAGTCAGAACTCCAGTGTGCCTGAGACTGCAAATGGAATGCAGATGGAAGGCTACCTGACTCCTTAAAGGAGTGCCTCATTACTCTGAAAAGGTGCTTTCCCTTGACTACCTCCTCAAATCAAAGAGCAGTGAATAGGCTGGAGTGATATTTTTTTTAAGCCTGTGAAACTCGTTTCTAGGCATGTGTTTTCCTGACACGTTATGTCCTTTCCTCACTCAGCAGAGAGAGCCCTCCTCGAGGCTGAGGTCCTGCAGTGTCACCGACGCGGTTGCCGAGCAGGCTCATCTACCACCGGTAACCCCCGCTCATTTCCAGTCTTTAGTCGGCTCTCTTGGCTTTCCTTTAAAATCGTGGGCTGCTGAGGAAGAGTTTTTCCTGTGCAAATCCATTTACTGCATAAATGAGACATTAAAATTTCCTCGCAAATTGCCCAAGGCAAGTGGCATTCCAATAGAGTTGTTACTGCCTGCAAAGTCTGCAGGGCTGAAACCTCAGTGCCTTAGTTTTCCACCCAAATTAATACCAATTCTGATGTGCTTACGTGACTTAAACTACTTAACTTAAAAGCATACATTAATAATTCCCTTTCTTTTTTTTATTTTAAACTGCATTTAGTCACTAAAGCATGCTCAGGTGACCTATATCTTAAGAACATATTGAATCCCTTTGAACAGGAACAACTCTTTTGGGTGTAATGAATATTTCCATTACTAATGGCCTACACTCATAATCCACAAAGCCCCTGTGCCTTCTCTTTAAAGGCAGCCCTACTGACTAAAGGGTTGGCTGTAATTTGCTACCATTCTCCAGTTTTCATAATGAGCAGCAAATACTGAAGTGTAAGGGGTGTTGAATAATGCAGTACATAAATAAAAATGAAATGCAAATTGGAAGAACTGCCTTTGGAGAAGTTTGGTGTACACATTAAAAATAATTTTTTTTATCAATTTGTTTCTCCTCTGGAGGACAAAATAATACATGCTTTCAGCATGTTCAGTTTGATATTTGACCTGGCCAAGTTTTTTTATGACTGCAAATCCTTGATCATTTTTAGTACAAATGCTTTATTATGTTTGAAATGGAAGGTGGAAAAAAGATTGCCCTTAACAGTTCTTGCACAATCACAGTGTTTTCCCTATCGTGTACATCTTCGCTTGACTTCAAAGGATATTTTTGCCTATGTTTTAGTCTTTTTTGTTTACAGAATGAGTTGAGTACACTAGTCAACTGAGTAATCAACAGTCAATTCAGCTGTGGTGTACATAGAATTGGCTGGTTGATCAGAAGCTTGACAAGATCATCCTTTCTGAGATAGTTTCAATATAGGCTTTCCCTCTACCCCCCAAAAAAACACAGAACAATGAGCAGTGATGGACTGGTGGGAATCCCCCTCAACCTGATGATTCTGATTTTCCTTGATGAATTAATGGCACTTTCCCTCCCTTTCAAAATCAGTGTCGATTTTATTTGCCCAAGGACCCACATCCTGGAAACTGATGATTCCTCCCTCTTTCCTTGTCCTATATGAAGCTGTGAACTCACTGATCACCAGGGGCCTCTTACTTAAATTTTTAGTTTGGCGAATTTAAGAATCTGCTAATTATTTAAAAGTGAGGGCAAAACCATAGTGGTCTCCACTATTTTTCAGTTAAGACATCTCACATTATTGAGGTTGTGAACTCATTGTTTATTTACACCCACCAAGGCTGCAGCCTGCGCCTTCTCAGGGAGGGGGCAATGGTGTTCCTCTTTTACCTCTGGTCATCAGTGCTTGCCCAGCTTTATTTGCACTGGGTGGATTTCAGGGACTCTGATTCATGTCACCTCCTTACTGGCTGTGTCAGCAATGATCCCTGATTCAGTAAGCAATGGGTGGTCTCCCTAAGTGCATTTCACTGATATAAATTATTATTTAACAGCCCAGTGCCCCAACTAGGAGAGCGCGTTCATCAACTGTCACGGGTGGTGAGGAGCCAACGGTAATGATACCCTTTATGAGACATGAATGGCAAAACTGGGGGCTGGTTTTAATTATTTTGCATCAGGGTGAACATACTCTCTTTTTTTTTGAATAAGATCAGGCTTCTTTGTGCTACAGAGCTGCATGTGTTTCTCATTTTAAATCTCTGTCACATTGTTCAAAGGTACTGGGTAAAACAGAATAATTGTTTAGTCCTTATAGTTTTATTCAGAACATGGTTAACCTTTGATTGAATGCATTTAATTTGACCATTTAGAATGTATTTTTGCCTCTTTGTGTTCGTACTCCTGGTAAGGTTTTCCTGTTTGTTAGAAGGCTTGGCTAAAATACTTTGGTTGGAAGAAAGTAAGGGAAGCCACGGGAATTGCGTGGATTCGTGGTTGTGTGCAGGGCAGTCACTTCCTGTGCATTTCCTAAACCACATTTTGAATTCTGTGTTAGGTTTTCTGTGTCACGAGCATGAAGCAGTGTTCATATAGTTTGGAGAGAGAGAGAGGAGGGAATGTAATTAAGTTTAAAAGGTCTGGAAAAATGTGTTTCTCTAGGCCAAGTATCTGTTGTTAGTCATTATTTTAAATTCCTAGTATTTATGTTTGTGGGTAACTTGGATTTGATTATGTTTTAATTACCTGTTTTCTATTTGATCCATAAAGACAGGCTAACTTGGCTTATGCTTTGAGCTCCTGTAGCTATTTGAAGAATTTTCCTTAATGTTTCACCTTTGTTATGTTTGTTGTAACTGCTTATTTCTTGAGAATACCCTTAAAATCAGTTGCTGATTTTCTGTAGGATGTTGATTTAAAGGAACAACTTAGTTACATTTTTAGAATTTAATGCTCAGCATTGCACACAGGAAAATCAGCTGGCAGTCAGCAAAAATCAGGCCATTTTAAGATACTGAGCTGCAGTGATTTATGTCAAAGTCATGTGTTGGGTGGGCCAGGCTCAGCGTCCACTAGAATTCAAGAAATTCCAAATGAAAGGGCCTATTTCCTACTGTGCACTAGCAATTTCTGTGGGAATAGAGCTGCAAGGTAGATGAGATCATTTCATGAAATAATTTTAATAGAACTCAGTGCTAATGAGTGTCCCCAGTCATCCATTTTTGCATTTTATGGGCTTTGGAAGGTGCCGTTAGGAGTGGAGTGTTGTGATAGGTGATGACGTTAAGTACCAGGATGAATTACGACAGTTCTGGGCTCTGTGGCGAGAGTTCACTGGCAGGGCAGAGTGATCCATCGGTGTGGGTCCGTGTCGCCCTTGCATTGCCCTCTCCTTCCCCTCCTGCATCAGTGAATTAAAAGAACAATTTGGTTTTGCTTTTATTTTTAAGGCCTGGGTAGTGGGTAGTTTCTCAATGTTTTGCCTGCTCTCATACTTTCTACATACCTAGTAAGCTTTCAGCAGCGCCAAGCCAACTTATTTTATGGCTGTGGCAGGAATTCAGATAGGCTTGAGAGCATCGCCTCTCTCTCCTCCACCCTCGCCATCCCTTGTCACAAATGCTAATTCCATTTCCCACTGTGTTTTCTCCCTCTTTTACACCTTCTCCCACCCCTCTTGTGTGTGCTGAGCCGCCAGGAGCCACCCCACCCCTTCCTCTGTGTGCTCTCACAGACATGCATGTGGATGTACACACATGCACACATGGGGAGTGGGCTCTCTTGTGCATATTACCTAGCTGCTTGGTATTTTCACTCACTTATGGTCATTCCTCTGGGACACGTTAATAATTACAAAATGTTCCGTGGTTTGAATACACTACCGTTTATATAATTTGCCCACACTGATGAGCATTCAGCCCCACCCACCCCTTTTGGTACCGCACAGCATGTTGCATTAACCATCCTGACGTATCTGTCTTCCCATGGTAGTGCTTTTATTTCTGTAGTAGAATGAGCAGCCCTGATTCTCTGTGTGAGACCACGACTCTTCGGTGTATGGCTGGCTAAGTAGTGAGATAAAGTGAGAAGAAGAACACGGTCTTTTTGGTCTTTGCTATGTATACCCTAAAAATACACCGACGTAAAACAGTATGGCAGGGTTAGAGTGAGCTCGGGAGAGTCTGTGACAGTGCCAAACTGTTTACCATCCTTAAAAGCACATTGAAACTTTACAGTTTAAACACAATTGAGTTCTTCATTTTAATGAATAAATGGAGCCACTATGAATTGTGGTTTAGGGGCGATTTGGCATTGTGGAGCACAGTAGTGTATTGAGATAAAAAGCTATGCAATGTTAAATTAAGCTGGCTAGCAGATTTTAACTTGGCTCTTAATGAACTTGTTTCGCTAGGTGGTGTGGAACGCATACCACCAGGGCGCTGATGTGCGCCTGCGTCTAAAGACTGATCTTGGCTCCAGGGCTGGGCTAAATCCGTGGTCTCTTGTCTGTAGAAGTTGAATCCTGCCCCCTCCCTTAAGTGGGGAGAGTCAGAGGCAGGCAGTATTTTGAGCCACAAATGGCATCAGTACAGGTGGCTCTCCATGGTCATTTGGAAAGAAATCTATAAAGAAACATTGTAATAACACCATCTCACATACATGGAACTAGATCACATATTGTCAATTCAATTCTCAGAAGGCAGAATGAACATTTTAATCAGATTCAGTGTTCTCTGCTGTATTCCTTGTGTTCCATAAACTGATTGGTCCTATTCACAGGATCTGTGAAAGTAACCTGGTTGCTGGAATACTCTGCTGCGAGTCTCACAGTTCTGAGATCATCCATGACACATCCAAGTTGCTTAAATTTACCAGTCCCCTCATAAATACCCTTCCCAGGGGTTTTGTAAATATAAAACTATCCTTAAGGTTTCCAGAACAGAGTTTTCTAAAGGTATAGTTAATTGCCCTTCCCAAAAAATAACTTGACAGGACAGAGGAAGTGCACCAAATTCCATTTGGTCGTGATGTCAGCAACAGTAGGTCAGAGCTTCCCAGCATGCACTTTGCCAAAAACATGAATTGACCACTAACTTAGCTTACAACTTGGGTTCTGACTCAGTTCAGCAGAGTCAGTTTTTGTAGTGCCCAGATAAGAGGTAGCCTAGAAATAGCTCATTTGTACTGGTGCCATAGTGAGAGGAAGAGGGAGGAGAGAGCCTCTGGCTGTGGATGGACTCATCTGTCTTTCATACTCATGGAAAGACCAGGCCTCCGTGTTGATGGACCTTCCACTCCTCTGTCCCTACACCTCGATCTAGGATGCCGTGTCGTCAGCTTGAAATTACCATTATGGGGCCTTTGGGACTTGATTTGAAGAAATACCAAGAAAATTGTTGTTGCGGTTTTAGCAGAAAGTTTTCTTACAAGCAGTCTTGCCTTGCCTGGTAAACATGTTTTAGAAATAACCACTGAGGCAGCTGCTTCATGGCTTCAGTGTTCTCTGGAATGTGCTGCTGAGCTTGCAAGTAGAATTTGAGCCTTGTTAACACCTGAGGTCCCTCAGTTATGTGGCAGCACCCTTGATGGTGCTTTCCAGCCCAGAGTCCTGCAGGGGACCAGGGGACCCTCGGACTGTGCCCCTCTTAGCCAAGACCCACTGTTGGTGGTGGTGAACATGAAAGGAGGGATGAGCTAAGGGATTTATTACATCGTCAGCCTCATATGGGAGAACCACACATGGTAAACCTCCAGGTGGCAGTTCAGAGGGTCCTAATTAGGGAAGACAGTACCCAAAAGAAGCAGCTTCCTGTTGGAACATCACCTAAGAGTTTCTTGTGGTGGTGGCTGCTTTACTTTCCATTCCCCCCAGGAGCCTTGGTAGCCACAGTTGGCTTCTTGTTTCTGTGCCCTCCACCCTTAGACTGAGCAGCGCCCTTTCGCAGTCACAGGTCCTACATGCAGCCTCATTCATCTGGGAGGCCCTGGGACACACTGTCCTCAAACCTCCATCTCATCACTTCTGTGAGTCATTGAAACATCCTCGCTATTCCAATATTTCTCCACTCAGACTGCTTCTTACAAGCAGAAGTGTGTCAGGAATCCTTTTGCAATCTAATCTGGACTATCCAAATAAAGTCACTCTATACTGGACATGTCCTGAACCCAGAAACTGCCTGTGCTTCATTTCCTCTTTAAAGAGACAAAAGCCAGATATGGGAGGGTGGGGGCAGGTACAACACACAGTGCCTTTGGAACTGTGACCTCAGGTGGCCAGGTGGCTTCCTGAGTGGGGCCGGGCGAGATGTCCTGGTTGGTGCTCTTGATTATGTGCCCTGGTGGGAATGCAGGCCTTCCAGAGAAGTGACTGATTTTTACCCCTGAAAGTGGTAGGGCTCTAAGCTGATGAAGAACTGAGGAATAAGTTAGGACAGCATCCCCATGGCAGCAATGATTAGGAATACATATTCAGAGCATGCTTTTCATAGATGGTAACATTTGACAGTTTGAAACACCTTTAAGCTCTACATGGTTCGACAGTAAAATTTAATAACTAAAATACTGTCCTATTTTTATCTTTCCTTATGATCATCTTAACAATGACTCTATTCAGGGCTCCAGCACCTTCGGACTGAGTTCTGTAAGATTTTGGACCCTGTAACTGTTCAGGGCTCATTTCACAGTAGATTTGAAACTATTGGAAATCCATTGCCTTTTTCCAGACACTGATGTTTTTGGTACAAATAGAATTCAGTTACTTTGTCTAGAACAAATAATTCTCTGGGTGTACATTACTTTATTAGACTGATCAGAAAACAAATGTAAGATATTAAATAATGATTTCTTACACAAACAGCCGTCAGTGGCCTATGTACATACCACGCCGGGCCTCCCTTCAGGCTGGGAAGAAAGAAAAGATGCTAAGGGACGCACATACTATGTCAATCATAACAATCGAACCACCACTTGGACGCGACCTATCATGCAGGTATGCACATCGCCATACAGCTTAAAATATCAGGCAACAGAAGCCGAAATGTGCATGAGCTCAGTGTTGCTGATGTTACGTATTGTTCTGAAGAACCCACGTTTCAGAAACTTTTTGTCACAGAGAACACGCATTACTTTAAGCATTGTATCTGCTAAGGGGGAATTTGGTCCCCAAATCAAGCTATTATTCCCTAGGTGCATTTTTAAAATGTGACATGAAAGGTACTTTCAGAGGAAGAGCCTATTACGACGTTAAGGTTCTCTCCCAAACCCCCATGTATTCTGAGGCTAGTTTTTTATGCTGAGCTCGTGATTCATTTCTATTTCCTTCGAATGTGTTTTCCCATCCATTTCCCTGTTGTTATGTTTAATTGTTTCCTCCACGCTATAAACAGGCCAGGCTTCTTAATTTATCCTGGCTGTGTTGTTGTTTGGATCCACGCTCCCAGTCACACTCACAGGGAAATCCTCCTATGAAGCTAACCTGTTTTTGCCTCCAAAATAGCTTGCAGAAGATGGTGCATCCGGATCCGCCACAAACAGTAACAACCATCTAATCGAGCCTCAGATCCGCCGGCCTCGTAGCCTCAGCTCGCCAACAGTAACCTTATCTGCCCCCCTGGAGGTGAGAAGGCTGCCTCAGCCCCCCGCCCCGGTCACTTCTGTGGCCCCTCTTCCTTCCCTCTTCTCTGTGACCTGGACTTCTGTTTTGCAGCCGCCTTGCTCTCTCATCGGCCGTTGTGCTTGCGGGGAGGGGTGCCCTTGTGCAGCCTTATACATGCTTCTCTGTTCCTCCCAGTTCACGCCTCTGGACTCTCACCTGATTTCTGATTCTCATTTGGCTGAGGCCGTGGTGACCTGTGCTGGACGTGGGCACCTCTTTTCAGAACTCTTGCCATTCTTGTTGTGTTTTGCTCTGTATTGCCTGTTCCTCATTAGACTTATCTAGTAACTCTTTCAAATATCAGTGCTTTCTGAGTTTTAAATCATAGCTGTTGCTTTGATCATTTTTTTCCTTTCAACTGTAGGGTCTTCCATTGTATGGGCATATGTGTTTCTGATGCAAATTTGCATTTCTAAATCATTGCTGGGCAGCTGCTTACGCTCTCTCCTGTTCATGTGGTTTTAATGCCGTTCCTTAACATCACAAATGTCAGAGAGTAAACGTTTGAAGTTCTCAACTTGACAGTGTCTTAGAGCCAGCTCTGGGTTTCTCTGTGCCCTGGGTTTAAGACGCTGATTAGTGGGGACAGATGATATCTCTCTCAAACTGATAACAAATGTCAAGGGTAACAACTATGCGATACCAGGTGGTTGTGTCCGTTGAGAGAGATTTTTCTTTTTGTACTCTTAAAAACGGTCAATCCTTTCTTCATTAGACTGTGAGCTCATGAAGAGCAGGGGCACATTTCTCTCTACCCTCTGTAAAATTTCCATCCAAGGCTCAATAAGGAACAATATTTTTGCTATGTATGGAGTAGCTATCAAAGGATGGGGGTTACAAATACTTAATCTCGTTGTGTGTTTAACCAATAGAAAAGCTTCAAGTTAGACTGATTTAAAAGTAAATGAATGACAGAAACAGGTTTTTTTAGGAGCTTCCCTCTTGCCCTCCAAAGAGGAGCATTCCATGATACCCAGATACATTTTGACACACGTGGAATAGCACATGGTAAGAGTTCTAATGCTCGTTATTATTCCTTAGGGTGCCAAGGATTCACCCATACGTCGGGCTGTGAAAGATACCCTTTCCAATCCACAGTCCCCACAGCCATCACCTTACAACTCCCCCAAACCACAACACAAAGTCACACAGAGCTTCCTGCCGCCCGGCTGGGAAATGAGGATAGCGCCAAATGGCCGACCCTTCTTCATTGACCATAACACAAAGACTACGACATGGGTAAGGTTGCTGCTTTTATTTGGCTCCATTTCCATTCATGAGGTCTGGCATTAATTCCTTCATTTCCTTACTCAGTACTCATAGTTCTTGTAGGCCAGTTTCACTGACACTGAAGCATGTCCCCAGAGAATCTCCTCAGCCTCCATGTAGACTGCACATGGGCTGGTGGGCGTGGGTGACTTGCGGGCTTGAGGCTAATGGCCATTTCACTCTTGGCCCCGAGCGGGTGTCTGTCCTTCACAGGACTTAATGGAAAGCTCTGGTTTTGATAACTGACCATATTTGGAAAAAGATAGTGTTCCATAGTGCTAGGATTTTGGTGGTAGTGCTTCACATCTCATGATGCTTTAATTTTATTAGGAATGCTAACCTTTTTAAAAATCATTTTAGTCTGCTGCTTTCTGCACTTTTATTGGCGTTACCCGTCTTGATTTGATTTGTTTAAAATTATGGTTTTTGGCTCTCAAATCAAATTAATACCGTACACTCCTAGGCTGTATTTTATTTCTTCGATTGTGGGTTAGGAGAGGGAGATGTACTGAACACTTCGGTTGTGAATGTGATAGCTCTTTTTCTGTGAACATTTTGTCAAAATTTATTTTTCTTACCCTGCCGCTCTTCTATGTGCCCCCGAATCATACATGAGAAAGAATCTGTGTTGTATTAACTTGAGCAAGATGAGATTAATCAAAGATGCATAAGCATACGTTTATATTCCCCTGTCAGTTCTTCATGGCTTAGGTGAATCAGTGGTGGCTTACTTAATGCAGCATATAGTTCTTTGAGAAGACAGTGGTATTTTTCTATTATGTGGTCTCTAGATCATGGTTAAACTGAAATCGGCTCTCTTGTTTCTGACTATTTCTGATGCTACAGGAGGTTTGTTTTTTCTTCTGTCCCTTGTACCCACATTTAATTGTCTGGGTACAGAGTTTAACTCCGTGCTGTCATCTCTGCTCCTTGCTCAGCACTGGTGTTACATGAAAGCTGATTGGGTTTTGGCTCTCGTCACTGGCACTAGCTCTTTGGTCTTGGACCGGCGGTGAACACATGCTTTAAATTCCCATTTCTAGTGAAGACACCTTTGATAGAACAGCACTATTGTGTTAAGGAAGAGGCCTGGTCCAGGGTGACCTGAGCTGCCACTTACACTTTGCTCATGGTGTGATGTGAATTCTGTCCCTTAAGAATTGGACAAAATGGCCTTAGAGGGCTCTGTCCCAATAATCCGGTGGATCATGGTATAGTAAGTCTCCATGAGGACATTGTCAGCACTGGAGGCAAAACTGTGCCCTTTATTGCAGTTTATCTTTGTCCCGTGACACTATTTCAGATAGCCACCATTTGCCCTCGACCGCTATCATAGTGACAACCAAAAATGCCCCCACACATTTCCAAACACCCCTTCATGAAAACTACTCTGAAAGTTCTTCTTATCATGAAATAAGGGAGTAGCCTGCCAAGAGAATTCATCATTTAGATCTGGTGGCATTCACTTGGTAAACACATAATTACTCCTAAGGCATAGAATGACATGTAGCCTTGTTTGACTCACCTTTTAGTCTGAAGATAGTATTACAGGTCGTGGGCAAGTTGAGAGTAAGAGATAGACAGCGCTTTGGAAAACGTCATAGAGTTTGGGTTTTGAGTCTTTTTGCCTCAGTGACATAGAACCTGTGGCTGTCCTGCTACAATACCCATTTCTGCATGCTGCCACACTGCTGTTATTTGCAGTCCTCAGCCAGAAATGGGAGCTCCAGAAACGGGGTAAATACTGTCAAAGTAGATGGATTAGTGTATGGAGCCACTGTGGCTTGCCAACATAAGCTATGATTTTAGTAATTTGAACTCGCTTAGTAATCAAATCCCCAGCCCTTCACAGCCTTTCATGCCACAACTGCAGTGTAATTGCAGCTGGGCAGACTTTATTTTAAATAGCACCAGCCTTATTTACTGCCTGCATTATTGTTGAATGAGACCCAGTTTGAATTTCTACTTGCCCCTTTCTATGCATTCTTGTTACTAATTTTCAAACTTAAAATTTTAATTTGTTAAAACAACATTTTGTTGCTCCTGTTGAAAATCCCTAAAGTAACAAATGAAAATCCCATGAGTCACTACCCTTCTTCATGATCCTCAGAGGAGCTACCACAGCTGCATTACCCCTTAACAAAGGCCTGTACGGAATTCTCCGTGCAGAGGCACCCTTTAAATTGCCTGCTTATTTTGACCAAAGATGGAGGGATAGAAGGAGTGGAGCAGTAAAGGTAATTTTCAGCTTAAATACTGTTTTGAATTGATTTGGGTTCGCTCTGATTTTTAAAAGAGAGAACAGCATAGAGTTATTAGATTTGAGCTTTGTAATAGAAAAGGACAAAAAACTAGTTGGAGGGGGTTTAGAGGAATGAAAATCGTACTTTCCCCAGCAACCTGTCTGCTCTTGATTCTGGTGCTAACCAGAAGCATGAAAAGATTCAGGCCAATTTTCCCTTGTGTACACTGATAGAGGAAAATGCCCTTTGACAACTACTAATTAAATGGCTTTTTGCACACACAAATGATGGAGGTGGTATGTCAGCAGCCTACGTGGAATAGAATTTGACCACATCAAATGAACATCACTTTGTCCCCACCTGGGTCAGGCAGGCTGTGCATGCTGGAGGCCACCGGGTGACTGAGGAGAGATTACAAGAGGCCTTCAGCTTGCATCTGCTAAGAAAGCAGCTCAAAGTGTGGAAGTAAGAATGTATTTATGTCTTCTACAGGACAAAGCATTGCTTTATTTTTGTAGCAAGAAAGAGTATACCTTAACTTTGCAGTTTGTTTTCTACTCAGGCCCAAATAATAAAACTCATCGTAGCCCCAACATGTTTGCTCATGTCTTCCAGAATGGAAAAAATGCAACTTTTTTCTCAGCCAGTCAGCATGCCCATATTTTGTATATTCTTTAATGATTCTACTAAGAAACCTTTTTTTTTTTTAACATGTCGATCTTTGCCTTCTGTTTAAAAATCCCTTCAACTGTATTGAGGGATGCGATTGTGAGATACCAAAATAATTATGAAATGGTGAAAAGAGTGCTCTTCTGGTGCTGAGAGAAGGCGGCAGAAACAGTTGTGTGTGTTGTGTGTATTTTCTGTTCATTTATGTTCGTATTGTTTGAGAGACCACATTAGTATTCCAACGTGCTGTCATCCCTGCAGTTACCATAATTCAAGTGGCTGCCCTCACCTCCATCAGCTCGGGGGGTTCCTGCCACCTGGGAGGGTGGGTTCAGTAGTGTCCGCTGGTTAGCCCCCAGAACAGGAGGGATGGCAGCTGTGGCCATTATTTTGGCTTTTGTGGGCATGATAAAGTAATAGGACCCTCAGGGCCTCTGGCCCTCACCTTCTGTGTGAAAAACGGAGCTTATTTTATTCTTTGTGCCTCAGCCCATCCCTAGCTCCTCCCCACTGGCATCTTTCTTTAATTTCAACATTTTTCTCTTTTAATTGCCAGCTTTTTACCAACAGGCCCAGTTGTCTTTCACAGTGGCCTGGGTGTGATTCCAAGGCACGGCTGGTCTGGGGTGCAGCGTCCAGCAGCCCCACACTCCTCACATAACAGCAGCTCAGGCTCTCGAGTCCGGTATGGTCAGCAGCTCTGCGGGGCCCCAAAGGGCCGCTGTGGTTGTGGCTTTACTTAGTCCAGTTCGGAGTTAGAACTGAGTGGGTAGCTTTGTGGAGTGATTCGGGGCTCTGAGTTTTCCTCTGTCCACAAATGTTTACCAGATAATCAGCTTCTTGGACCTTTTAAATCCAAAATCTATTTCTGTTCAGTGTATCTGTTTACACTGCTTGGGTTCCAGTGTACTACAGAATACTAGACCTATTTTATGCCTCTAAGTACCCTTCTAGAAGTACATTAGGTTCAAGTTCAATATTCATCATAAGCTGCTAACATGATTCATTTCTTCAATTAAAAGTTGGCTATAGTTAAGAGAAAGCAAAGATTGCTTTGATTTTTTTTTTTATTCTTGCTAGTTCCAGAAGTCTGTTGCTTTGTTATAATTCAGTGATACTGAAGTATAATCCGGTGATAATTGAAGTACAAACATCAGTTTGTACTGTTGACTTGGGGAAAAAAATTTTAACAGCTTTATTGAGATGTAATTCACATGTTGCACAGTTCACCTACTGGAAATACATGATTGAATGGTTTTTAGAATCATTGAGCAAAGATGTGCAGCCGTCACTGTAATGAATTTCAGAATATTTCTGTCATCCCCAAGGGAAACCCTGTACCCCCAGCAATCACAAAGTGAGTTTTTTTTATTTTCCAATAGCTTTATACCAATTATTTCATTTTTTTTTGGTTGTTGACTTGGGAGAATGCTGAGGCAGAAAACCTTTTAGTTGTTTGACAGCAAGAAAGCCTTTAATATAACTGAATTAAACAGTTGTGGGGTTTTTTGAGATCTCAAAAGCATGCCTTTTTTAAAATTTATTTTAGGCTTACTTGGTTGACAGTGTGCTTTTCTGAATTTTATCATTTGATTTCTAATCTTTTGAGTTTAAAGTAAGAATCCTCTAAGTTCCATTTTGTTTTCACTGGGTCTGTGTGAGTCAGAGGCAGCTCCCAGACTCGGGATTAGAACCTTTGGGCAAAGTCTCATTTCCTCTGAAATTCTGTTTCCTCCTCTGAAGAAGCGGAGACGATGTGCTCAGTTTCCTAACAGGGTTGCTGCAAAATCACACATCTGAGCCTGTGTTCTTTGTAAATTATAAAGCATGACACAGGATGTTGGAGTACATGTTTCTCCTTTTTTGGTTCTCTCTGGTATCTTACAAACCATATCCCTTAAGAAAAGTCTTTTGCAAACTTCTAAGTATTAAAACGTAAATGAGAATCTAATCTGCAGAACTTGATCAAGAATCTCAGTCAAGTTCAATAGTAGGAATGTGACTTCATATAATGAGGCTGACTGTCTGCGGAGCAGGACATGACTTGACAGACCAGATTGAGACTCTCCTCTACGTCAGGAGGTGCAGCAGGAAGGGAGGCTCGCTGCCCTCACCCAGAGCTCAGGACCGGAGGAAGAGGGAGGCTTAAGCCGTCACCCCACTCCCCCTCTAGCTTAGGGCCTTGTCTTTATTGGCACTCTCCATCCCGGTTTCCACAGTAACGTCACTGCTGGGGCCTTCTTCCTCTTCACCTGCTCAAGGGCTCGGGGAAATAGTTCGCCTTTTATTTAAATACTCTTACCTGCTTTCACCAAGGACGTGAGGAGGAGTAGAATCTTAGAGAGCTGGTCAGCCAGGCTTCCTACACTAAGAGGGACCCACCCCTCACCCGTTCAGGCAGGAGTGTAGCATAGTGTCACCCTGGTTGTCTTGGAACGCACAACTCCAGAAGGGGGGGAGCCGTAACTGCACACATAGTCACTCTTAACCTCTTCTGCCTTCAACATTCTCCTTACAGGAAGATCCACGGCTGAAATTTCCAGTACATATGCGATCAAAGGC